AAAAGTATAACCCCTCTTCACTTATTTGAGAGGCAAGAGTAATTTTTCTCATTCTGTATTCTTGCCTCTTGAATAAACACCAGTTCCTGTATGATCACCAAAATTAAGCAACGTCAATCCTGGTTAGTACCTACATGGGTGACCACTTGGAAATACCATGTGCTGTAAGCTTGGATGTACCAGGGGGGTGGTGGATAATGACTTGAAATTGTTAAATGCAAAATTCCAATTTCAGTTGGGTTCATTATATTTACTAAAGTGTAAATACCCTTAGAAAAGGTATGAATCCACCTTTTCTCCTTCAAGCTACAGGTCAATTAGTAAAACTTGTATCACTAAATCATTATTATCTTGCCCCACACCCTACCTAAAAATTTCTCACAATGTAAAAATATTTTATGGCTTTAAATAACCTGCAAAAAGTTGATAAACTATAGAAAATGAATGAATCAATCAATTGCTTCTTGAATAAAACATGGTGGAGCATACTTATTAGCATTTTGTAAATTAATAGACCCTCTCTGCACTTTATTTGAAACCTTTATTATTCAAGAGGCAAGGTTAAAATACTATGTAATAATCTTATTCCATTAGCAATGCTTGTAGTATTTCATGACCATTATTAATTGCAAATTGTTCTTGATATATAAAAAATTTATATACCGTTATCCCATATATATATATATATTTAAGTTATGAAAAACTTGGTAATCTGTATGGGTAATCATATATATATATATATATATATATATATATATATATATATATATATATAAAATATATATATATATATCGTTATCTCATATGCACATGCAAACACACACACACACACACACATATATGGGATAACAAGATATATATATATACACACACACATATATATATATATATATATATATATATATATATATATATATATATGAAATATAGTTTTAAGGGTGCTATATTTATGGGATAAAGTGCTTCATTATCAGAGATAGAGTGTATATAAATGGTGGCCTGATGATTGTATTTAGCATGAAACAATCTGTCACCTCTTATTATTTATATATATATATATATATATATATATATATATATATATATGACTTTTTAGGACCTTGAAATCATAATTATTTGAGAATGAATAGAATGTTACTTGTTTAGTTTAATATACATGAAATATTAAAAATACTGCATGAAAAACTTTTGATATTCTATAAGTAAAATTCAATTGCAAAATTACTTAAATATTGTCAACCCATTTCCAAAGATTTAGCCAAACATCACATTTGTTTTTATTACAACGTTTCGGCTATTGTACGCTCCAGCCTTCTTCAGGTGGTTGGAATGTCGACTTGAACTCTATTTCGCTCACTGGGCTAGACTGTTCTAGTTTTATGTGCCATGTTTAAGGGATGTCAGTTGTCAGTTATCTCCTGTTAATTCCCCTCTCCAAGTTCTCCACTGCCTTAACCGGGTATTGAACTCACACTCTTTGGGTCCTGTCACTGGATCTAAATAATGCCTTTATCAACTGTGGATAACTTGGAGAGGGAATTAACAGGAGATAACTGACAACTGACATCCATTAAACATAGCACATGGAACTAGAACAGTCTGCCCCAGTGAGCAAAGTAAAGGGTTCAGTTTGACATTCCAACCACCTGAAGAAGATCAGAGCGTACAACGGCCGAAACATTGTAATAAATATGGCGACAAAGATGAGGACAATAGTCCGAATAATGTAAATAGTGTACATAATACCTCATCTCAGAAATATAGACAGATCAGATTTGTTTTTCTTTACTTTAGAAAGGCTTCTTGTTTTGGCTGAGACCTTTTCAGCAGCACTCTCCTTTAATACTGTATTTGTTATACTTTTTAGAACAGTATTATTAGTTGTAAGAAAACAACAGTCATGATAATACTTTTGTGATTTCATGTTTATAAAAGAAAGAAAAAACTGACTAATCATGAACATATAAAGTGAAATGGTCTGTATGAAGATGAATATGAAATTTCTTTTTCTGAAAATAATCAATACGAGAAGCCATAAAAGATATTTAAAACAAACTTATAGACATTTAAATAGAAAGTTTGATGAATGCCCCAATGTCACAAAAACTCATTTGACTGGTATTTAAAGAATATTCTTTCTGAAACAAATTTGTAGCAGTTTTTACCAAATTTTATTCTGCAAAATAACATGCTACAATACAAGCTGAGGTTTGATAATATTTATCAGTTTTCTTATAATGAGGCAACTAACAGTATTAATTTGCAAGACAGTTTTATAATTAACAGAAAAACTTGTACTTCTCACGCTGTTAATTCAAGACATAATAAAAACGTTATAAATTTTTTTTCTCTAAATATGATGCCCTTTCAGGTTGTAGGTAATCATGGCTGTTTACAGTTTTCTTTTGATATGAAGCAACAGAAAATATGGTTCCCATCAGATTCATATATATTCAATAAATTCTGTCTGAATCCCCAAAATTCAGAAGAATGCTGAGAATAGCATAGAATGAACATGTGATCAAAGACAAAGTTTTAGAGAAAATGGAAACAAAAAGGACACTTATACTTAACATCAGGAAGAGACAGTTGAAATTTTTAGGGCATATAATGAGGAAAGAAAGCTTGAAAAATTTGATACTCAGAGGACATACTGAAGGCAAGAAGAACAGAGGAAAACAATTCATAACTTACCTAGGGAGCTTACATAAACAGACAGCAGAACAAGGTTTAGGAGGGATCACAAAAGGACCAAATTTATTGAGCTACAAAAATAGAAAATTGTTGAGAGCCATGATCACCAATGTCCTGTAGGGACAAGGCACAGAAATGAAGAAGACATATAATTGTTTCCTGTTGCCATCTCCAGTTTTAAATTCAGAACTATCTTTCTTCTCAACTAGTTGCTCTTTGCTCTACCAAGACTTCTATTTTACTCATTAGAATTCAGTAGAAGAAGAGGTGGAGTCATAGTTTTTACTAAAGACATGAGGGAAAACTAGAGTGCAACAGTCTTAACCAGATTTTATACTCAGCTTGCTAATTTTATTTTACATACTGATAACCTTGATTGTAAACATACAACACAAACTTCCTCCAAGCTTTCTACTGACTGGTCAAAGATTACCCCACATTGCATCTCAGTCCTCAATATCATCAGTAGACACTAAAAGCTGGCGAAGTTAAACAATGTCAAACCTGGTCAGTACCAAGAGGTGACCGCTTGGGGATACCAGGTGCTGTAAACTTGGATGTGTGCTTGGTGTAAGGGATAATGGTTCAGAATTGTTAATTGGAGAATCAAGTTTCAATTCCAGTTGGGTTCATTATATTCACTTACGTGCAAATACCTTTTCCTCCAGCTATGAGTTAATTAGTAGGATTTGTATCACTAAGTCATTGTTATCTCTCAACAAAATCTTACAGTCTAAAAAAAAATATTTAAATAACCTGCAAAGAGTTGATAAGCCATAAAAAACAAAAGCTGGGGAAGGGCATGATGCATGCTCACAAAGTAGCATGATGAAAGACAAATGCCACATTGAGAAATAAGAACACAAACCTTGTTTCCTATATATGAAGATGTTTTATTCAGGGCATTGCCTGCTCGTTTTTTTGTAGGTAGGTGGTACTTGGGACAACTTCTGCTATATCAACTCTTTTCCCACCTTGCCTATCTACTCATTCTGATATAGTGGCTGGCAATTCAAACCATGTAACAGACAGGCCCATCTTTCACCAAGGGTAGATCAGAAATCTTCCCAATCTCATGCATGACTGTTAATATAGACCAGCACCTGGATATAGACTATTTCCAGTTTTGTTGCCATTAGATTGCCAAAAATCTATCATATATCCCCTTAATTCTGCATTCCCCTTCAGTCAAAGTAGATGCTGCTTAGAAGATTGAACTTCAAAAGGAGCTGGTCTATCAAACAGAAACACTTGAGATTGAAATAAAACCACTTTTTCCCTTTCTACGTGTGCAGAGTATAACATTATAACCATTTTCTTTTATTCTTTTAAGTAGTCAGACTTTGGAAGGAACCATCTGCTGGTCTATCAAACAGAAACACTTGAGATCAAAATAAAACCACCTTTTCCCTTTCTACGTGGGTTCCCATAGTATCATCACATTATACCATTCGCGCATTCATTTCTTAATTTATTGTTTGTAATTTACAACAACAAAAAAGATTTAGTTATATTTAAGTCTTGTTTTAGTGAATATTTGAAGTAGAATTAGACTTTAAAATAATTTTAATTTCAGATTTCACTTCATTTATTTTAAAAGAAAATCTTAATGAAATTTTATTTATTTGTTTGTAAATAAATGTCTGTAGTTATCATAACTTAAAATTCAGAAATTTAAAGTTCTTTATATGTATTGGCAGAAAGATATTCAGAATTTGCCAAAATCATTAACTGAAAATAATTTTACATCATTTCATATTGTTAGTATTTGAAATGCCTACCTCTTTATATCTTATGAATGCTCCATGTATCTTTTATAGAACTCTCTAGTTCTTAAGCCTGTAACTCATATTTACAATATATTTTTAAAATCATTTCAGTGCAATCAAAGCAATAAAGCTGCTAAGACACAAGAGGTTACTGAGTGTGAGAGAATATAAGAAAAAGAAAACATTATTATTATCTGATTACGCATCGGTCCAGTCCTATTCCAATTTGTTTTTCTCTCTCCATTCTCTTTTTTTGTTTTTCTCTTATTTCTTATAAAAAATTAACAAAATTGATTTTTTACCCACATGCTTTCCCAAGTAATCTTAAGACTTGCACTTGATGACCCATCTTTTATGAGCACTACTATCAATTGTTCTTCATTATGTACCAGTGACAATGTTACCTCCTCTCTGTCTCATTCAGTTTGTGAACAGTTGACATTTCAACACAGCTGTCAGTAATAGTTTTTTTATTGTTTTTGCAACATCAAACTTTTATTGTAGGCTTACATGCCACATCACATTGAAGTATCCCCCCCCGGCCAGTGTGATCACCAAAGTTAAGCATCATTGAGCCTGGTGAGTACTAAGATGAGTGACTCCTTGGTAATACCAGGTGCTGTAAGGTTGGGTGGTCTAATGGAAAATGGCTCTGAATTGTTAATTAGAGAGCTGAATTCCAATTGCCATTAGGTTTGTTATATTCAGTTATACTCAAATAACCTTGGGAAGGGGGTATAAATCCACCTCTTCTCCCCTCCTTTATGGATTAATTAATAAGATTTATATCACTAAATGATTATTATCTCAAAAAAAAATTCTTACAATCTAAAAATATTTTCTGGCTTTAAATAACCTGCAAAGGGTTGATAAACCATAGAAAATGAATGAATGAATCAATCAACTTTTATTGCCTACACCTCATTGGATGGGTCATATAGAATTTCTGTTATTGTAGATAATTTTCTTATAGCAGCTATTTTTACTGAAAGAAAAAATATCACAATCTTCAGCAAATGGGATCTCTTCGCTCATATTGATTTGATCATTCTCTTAATTTTAGTAGATTTCCATGTCAGTAAGCAAGATATCATTTCATCCTCTGCAAGAAAAACAACTTGGCATAATTGACAAAACCTCCATCTGGAAGAATAGCATCGTTTTTATCTGTATATGTCACTGTATTTAGATTCATGAGATTTTTGTTTTGCAAAGCTGATGACAACTCTTGGGGAGTTTTTAATCTATCTTAGTATTTTGTTTTATTCAAATGGGCAACATTAACATTTGGGATTACTGAGCTGAAATGACAAGCAGCAAAACCTATATTGAAACATGTCATGTCAGCAATCAAACTAAACTTGTCCATTTCAGTCTTTCAGTCTTATCTTCTTCACAGTAAATGCATCATCTTTCCGAATGTGACAATTTCTATTCTAATAGGCTCAATGCATGTGATATAACTTTCTTGATTGATGTTAGCCATAAAGGTTGGGATCAAGAATATCCCAAATACCCACCTGAACAAATCAGACCTATGTCTGCCTTTTGGACTCTCAGGCAAACCAAACCTATATTTACCTTTTTGACTTTTGCGCAAACCAAACCTTTGTCTACATTTTGGACTCTCATGTAAAGCAAATCTGTTTACCTTTCTACTGCTTATCAAGATGACAGAATTCAGCATTAAATAACCTAGAAAATTTTTATATGCCATAAAAAACGTGATTGATGTAAACAGAAAAATCTGCCTGTTTACTTGAAGTAGATGTATGTTTACAACTTACGTTAAATGTGACCCTTAATTTTGCAATAACACACACTTGAAACATTTTTAGTTCCACCCAACAACTGATTAAATCACACCAGAACACCTTCAAGGTTATCTGCAGATTACTAAAGAAAACACCTTGATCATCCTTGTACTAAGTGTGATCATCTTTTTCTGTCTATTTTTGTGTTAAAGTTTTTTAAATTCTGGAGGCAAACAAAAATAAGCATCACTATCAGTTGGTTTACTCTGAAAAAAAGAAAGAAGCTGTCTTGTCATTTGATAGAATAAAAGATCCTTGAATTTGAAGCACTAAGACAAAACAGGTTATACATTTTCCTGCATGCATGTAGGACTGTCCTTTTTTTTCTGATCATTTCACTCCAAGCAAGGCAATAAGGCCACTAAGATGCAAGGGGTTACTGAGTGTTAGAGAATATGAGAAAAAGAAACACTATTAAGGAGAGAGAACAATAAAAGAACAGGAATTAAGACAGAACATAATGATTGTCATTGCATTTAAATTTTTGAAGATCAAAGTTGGTTGGGAAGCAAGAAGCCAGAAGAGAGTTTTACAAACAAGAAGTGTGATAGAAGAAATTGTTAGCATAGAATTTACATCTAGCTATTTCAACTGTCAAATGATGAGATCTTGCCGCCAATCTAGTACTGTGCTTAAATTCATCAAGTGTAGTTACCATAGACATCAGGACAATTACCATGAAGGTATTTATAGAAAAGTCAGAGGGAAGGTACATTACAGCAGTGGGAAAGTGATTGAAGCTCAGCTACCAAGTCACGTCTGATAACATTGCAGATTCTTCTTTGGATTTTATCAAGAATCTCTAAATATATAACAGGAGCATCAAACCAAATATGGCAGCAATATTCAAAGTATGGATGAATGATAGACTTATAAACCTTTAAGATAGATTATGGAGAGAAAAATTATCTAGTACAATAGCGAAAAAATTTTCCTAGCAGTAGACCTAGCAATTGATTGAATATAATCTTTCTATTTCATATCAGCTGAAAAAGATAGTCCAAGAAAGTGTAACAAATCACTCTCCTAGGGATTAGCATAAGCCATGCTGATGGAAGACAGAAAGTGTTTTCTCAGATGACTAATAAAGAGCAGATTTGTTTTGAAGGTGTTGAAATTAACAGTCCATTCTTTGTCCCAGTTAACAACAGAATGTAGATTATTTTTGAGACCAGCTGCCAATTTCAGCTTATCAAACCTGAATACACATTTCTTCAAATCCTCAGTCACAGATTTTTGTTGGCAACTTTCTATTGATAATTTTTGTGTTGCAGCTCAAATTACGACCATACAACATTTAGATCCTTCATTTCATCATAGATATCAATTTTCTTCTAACACTTTTTATTTCACTTCAAGTGTCTGGTAGTGCCTCAGTTTAAAGTATTTTTGTTATTTAAGTTTCTGCAGTAGTATCATTGTTATATTCTGTGCAACACAAAAAAACGAACACTTTCTTGAGACACAAAAACGAACGCCTTCTTGCGAACCAGAATATACACAGCATCGAGCTCAGCCAAGTTGATGTGCTTGTCTTCGTGCACCGGTCGGAGCCAGCTTGCGTCTTCTGCCACGGCGCCATTGCTCTCCACAACCACACTGGTGGCTAAGGAGCTTGCATCTACCCACATGGTTACATTTTGTTCACCGATGCACCAGTCATCTTTCACTGGATCGTCCTGGGCTAGTCTCTTAAAAATGTTGTCGATCATCTGAGCTAGAAAAGGGTCCTGCACTTCATCGTCCCATCCAGTGGTAACAGTGTTTGCCCTCCACTTCACAAATGCTGTGGCGACACGTAACCAACCACATACAGGAAAATGACCAGTCAACTTTCCGCACAGCGAGAAGACAATTCGGCGGGTAAGTTTATCGGGGACTACCGGAAGTTCACATCCACAACACCATCGAAATTTTCCTTGCTCCTCCCAGACATGCAATCCCAGTACGCGTGTGCCAACTCTTAGCCGCTCCGGGGTCTTACTTGACAGACCAAACTGCTCCAAATGTTCCTTGACGCAGACCACAGAACACACACTCTCATTAACAAAAACGTTGTCAATATAAGAGGAGGAAGCTGCATTGATGATCTCGTCCTGGCTCAAGGCGGTATTAACAATGGCCCGCATGATTAAAGGGGCAACATTGAGCCCAAATCCTAAGCAGGTTAGACAATACCTTTGTCCCTTAATCTCCACTGTTTGGAATGGCCAAAGGGACTTGTCGATGTGTACCTGCAGATAGGCCCGGCGAGGTCCAGCACTGCAGCATTTGGTCCTTGCTGACGCCATTCTATATTTTTTGCAAACAAACATCTGCGTTAATGAATGCGACGCATCAAAGTACTCATTGAGTTCCCGATAGTCCATAACCGGCCGAACCTTCTGTTTGTTTTCCTGCAGAATGGCCATGAGGGGGATTAAACCCTTTGGGGGTCCGAGTTCCTCCTCCGGGTAAGGAAGCAGTCAGCCATTATCTATCCAAATCTGGAGTTCCCAGTCATACTCCTCGTGAATTTGTGCGGGAGCTGGATATTCTGCCAGTCTATTTCTTAACATACCCGGAGGTTTGTTGCCAGCCCATTTCCAAGATGTGGTCCACCTCCAAGAGGTCTCATTGAATTCTACTTTAAAGTTGGGCTTGGTAATGATGATAACAGCAATGACTGGTTCGACACACTGCGGAAACTTCACCTCACCGGTGCCAGTTACAGATATTCCTCCCAACTGTTTGATGGCATCTAGTCCGAGCAGGAAGTCAAATCCAAGCAGGTCTCCATCCACGATTAGGGTTTCCATAGCGATGGACGGTTTTGCACCAACGCTAACTTGTACCACTCCAATTCTACAGCAGTCAAGTGCACCTCCGTCTACTGTAAGCATGCGTGTTGATTTTCTTGTCCATGCATGACAGCATGACTTGCTGAGTAGTGACTGTGTGCATCCTGTATCCACCAGAGCTGTACGTGGTATTCCATTGATGCGAACTGTCACTACAGGCAATGCACTATTTACAAGAGTTTTAGGGAGGAGATTGGCCCTGAATTCTCGAACCCTTGCCCGTTTCCCGGACAACACCAAGCAATGTGCCCTTGCTGATGACATTGATAGCAAGTGATGGTCTGTCGATGCTTGGTACCAGCACCTTTGAATGGTTCATGACCCAGGAGACAATTGCTTGCCCTATGAATGACTCCATCGCATTTATAGCACCTTGTGTGCACATCTGTTTCCTTCAACTGTGCAGCCACTGCAGCCTGCTCCATAGGACCAGTGCACTTCTTCAAAATAGTGCGAGCTCGTGCCAACACATGTGACAAATCCAGGTCTTCCATCTGGGATGACGCTCTTAAAAGCTCTTCTGCATGCTCAGGCAATCCAGCAACGAATGCACACTGCAAACACTTTTCCGATATGCCACCAAACAGAACCGCGGGTCTGCGCAGTTCTGCCAAAAAGACGTCGACCGTCTCCCCTGGCTGAAGGCGACGTGCTGCAAACTGCTTCCACACGGAGAAGGGATCTAAGGCGAAAGCTGTGAATAAGTGAATAACACTTTCTTAACGCAATTGAAGTCTGTGCGCTTCTCCTCACTCAATTGCTGGTACACAGCATATGCGCCACCTGCCAAACGCATCGGGATAACACACTAAATTCGCTTCACACCGTTCAACTGACATATTAGTTCCGCCTTCTCCAACCATTCCACTACTGACTGTCCAGAATCGCTTCCGTCGAACAGTGGTATCAGCTTCGGGTCGAAGGCCATAATGCCGAAATAGCTTGTGCGAGAAAAAAAAAAAAAACTTTTTGCAACACAAAAAAACGAACGCCTTCTTGTGAACCAGAAACGAATGCTACACAAAAATGAACACCTACTTGCGAACCAGAAACGAATGCGACACCAAAACGAACGCCTACTTGCGACACAACACTTTACGACAGCCAACGAGCAAAACGGTACCCAAGACTGCTGCTGATGGACGTTTTAATAACGGCTTTTTGTTGCCCAAGAAAAGACGCCAAACGACTCGCGGATCTTCTTCTTATAGTCCTCGGTCGAGTCCATTATGGTACTCCAAGTTGTGCCCAGCAACAACACACACACACACTTTGAGGATGTTTCCACGCATGTTCGTTACATATTCTCTTTATTCTTCAACACAACTGTCAAAATCAATTACTTATTTTTTGTTAATTTCCTTTATTGTATTACACTCATTTACAGATTTTCCTGGACATTTACCAGATTTAGAAATCACTTTTGATGTTATCCAGTCATCTTTTCTGTGCCATTTATATTGAACCTGTACATACTTTTTCCAAAGTACTATACTTATTAGAAATACCAGCCAAATTACTTTTGTGTTTGGAAGGTATTCTTTTCTCCTGCAATGGGTTCTGAAATTGATGTGCCATTTTATTCTTCAAAGTCTTCATCTTCATCAACTTTGTTTTTTTTTTCACTCACATTCTTATCAAGTCAGCTGCATTGCGAATTTATGTTGTCTGAAGTTGGTGTGATTGAATCAAATTTAGTAGAATTTGTTTGAATTTGTCCTTCTAAAATCAAATCCATACAGTCAACAATGAAATTATTTGTACACCCATCAATTTTGAATATTTTTATCCATTTCTCAGAATCTAATGCCTGTATGATGCCAAATGTTAACAAGCACAAAAAAGATTATAAAACTCAATTTTCAGAACAATAGGTTAAATACAACAAATTTGACAGGTGAATTATGCAAAATAGGAAAAGACAATTATTTTTACAGTAGAAAATATCATTTTAAATTAATTGATTCATATAATTATAAGTAATTTACATAATTATTTTATCAGTGAAGCCTTCAAGACTATTTATTCAGTAGAATATTTGTGATAATTCCAGCAAAGAACATCACATGGTGCACAGAGTGTCACCATTGTTATTCTTATGTTAACAACATAATAGGGAAGACAAAGGATCTTAGTGTTGACTTAAGACAGAGAATTATTAACTTCCACAAGTCAGGAAATAGTTACAGTACTATTTCAAACCGGTTAACTATCTCTAGATCTATGGTACAGTCTGTTATAAAGAAGCTTAAACAGTTTGGCGCAACAAAGAATTTGCCTGAGTGTGGAAGAAAACCCAAATTGTCACTGAGAGCTGCACAAAAACTGTGTTGTGAGGTTAATATAAAGCCAAGAGTTGTTTTTGAAAGACCAAAAGTTTGGATATGATAAGTATCAGCGCAAGTATTTGCACAATATAGCATTGTTTAAATAGATATGAGTTGTATGGAAACTGACCATGACAAACCCCTCTTCACAAACCATATCACATTGTTACTCTGTTTAATTCTGCCAAAATGTTCTTGAACAAAGAAAATTGCTTTTGGGAACAAGTACTATGGAGTGATAAAACAAAAATTGAACTATCTGGACATAATGCTGTACAGATGATTTGGTACAAGAAAGAACACAGTGGCAACATTAAAACATGGAGGTTGCTTGATGATGTTGGGGGTTGTTCTAGCTCAAGTGAGACTGGACAATTAATTGCAATAAGAGGAATAATGAAATCTGTTGACTATATCAAAATTCTGGATGAAAATCTGCAACTATCAGCGCAAAATCTTCATCTAGGTTGCCGATTTACTTTTCAGCAAGATAATGATCCCAAACATACATCTAAATCAGTGACTGCATGGCTTCAGAAAAAGATGATTACAGTTCTGCCATAGCCTTTGATTTGAATCTTTGATTTGAAAATGTATGGCAAGAATTGGAAGTTCAACTAAATCGTTGGTCTCCAAAAAACCTTCAGGAATTAGAATGTGTAACCACTGAAGAATGGAATAGAATCCCAGAAAAGACTTGTTCAAATCTCATGAAAAACTTTAGAAAATGATTGCAGCAAGTTAAAAAGATGAGAGGCTATGATATTGAATATTAATATTATGAAAATTGTTCAATTTTTTTCTATTTTTCATACTGTGCAGATAATTTTGTCTTCCTATTTTTGCCTGTCAAATTTGCTGTATTAAATTATTGTTCTGAAAATTGTGTTTTTTAATTATTTTTTGTGCTTATTAACATATAAAATACCTGGTATCATACAGACATTAGATTATGAGAAATGGATAAAAATATTCAAAATTGATGGGTGTACAATTAATTTCATCATTGACTGTGACTACACATTCACAAAAAGTAGATCCTAACTGACAATCATGGTAGAAATGCTTTACAAACTTGACAGATTTTTGATATTCTCATACTTTCAGTATGAAATTTAGACTTATTACTGTCAACATATTTTATTAACTTTAATAACTTCTCAAGAGGAAGAGGAATAAATTGACAATATAATTTAAGTGTATTTTGTTTGTTGCACTAAAGTTTTATTATAAGAAAGTGTTACTTTAACAATAATATTTCTCTTAGTCTCCTCATGAATAAGCTGTGATTTTGTTGATAGTATAATGTCCAGATTGTGTAACATGTGGATTGACTCTCTATCCAACTATCTAAGCTATATCCTATTTAAAATTCAATTTCATTCCAACTCTTTTCATAATTTCATAGTTTTGCTTTGATAGCAACAGTGGTATATAACTATTTACAATATCCATGTTGATTGTGATTGTAGACACATCATTTACAGCTGGAATATAGGCCTTTTACAAAGAAGGAACACATTTTCTCTCTCCAAATTTGTACACATTTTTGCTTTGTTTATACGTATCATTCTTCTTATCATCATTATCCAGAGATTCATAGTAGCAATTAAGCCACATTTCATCCCATTGTGTTTTACTCATGCCATATAGTTCTGGGTATAATGACAAGCTACATTCAGCAGTAAGGCCTCTGATTGGAAGGTTTTGAGGAACATGGAACCATCTCTTAATTGCTGTTGTTCTCAGATCCATCCTGACCCGGAGTGGTAGCACCTGTTAGGGTCACAGCTATGGGCAAATAGTGATCCTCCCAACCAAACACTATGAAAGTGTAGAAATACATTTTTATAGCAAAATGACCAGAAATACATTTTATCTGTAGTTGAAGTCATAAAACTGCATCCAAAATATTTCTATTCCAGCATTAAATAACCTGTAGAGGCTGATATGCCACTAAACAAAATCAAACAAATAACCAACATGAAAGAACTCTACAATTTTTTAAAGAAATCAAACTGTATTCCAAAATATGACTTCAACAAAACTACAACATAAAATACACATATCACCTCTAATAATCATGTCCACACAAATGTGTATATGCGCAGAAGCTGAGTATCAACTACCATGTATTCAATTTTGAAAACAGAATAACATATCATATTTTATTACTTCAAAGCTCCCAACTAAAATTCAACATTAAGTGACCCATAAGGAGTTGATATGTCAATAAACAATTTTATCTTCTTCATGCTCTTATTATTTATGTTGGAATCTCTCCTGTTCTTTTAATTTTCTTTTTCTGTCAGGGCATTTTTTTAACATAATGCTTAAGACTATCACATTCACTGTAAGTCAGTGTATTTCCATACTGATTATAAGGCCTTGTGGGTGATAAATTGTTTTCTGTTACATTGAATACTAACTGCTTTAGCTGTGATTTGAACTTTGTACTGTAATTAATTGTTCCTCGCCTCCAACTCAGTAGATTCCAATAAACAGCAGAAAGCTTGTCAAACACACTTATCAAAATGAGCTCAACCATTTGGAAAGTTCTCAAAAAATAAACGAGAGATGCCTGGTGCCAGGGTTTCTGACACCCATTGCACCAAAAATGAGAGTGTCAGAGAAATATTGATGCCAGTACAACATTGGTTGTAGGAGTCTAGGCAATTTTTGGTCTTAGCCCACGTGCATTGTGGAACAGACTCTCAAGAGGATGTTCACCCAATTACTATAATCTGAACCTCTTTGAGTCTTGGGTCAACCATTATCTATTCTACATATCCTCATAATATGTAACTCTTGCTCCTTCCTTGTATGCACTTACACATTCCTCATTTAGTAGCCCTCAACCTTGAGTAGCGCTTGGGACTATTGGATAAACAATAGTATAAAAATAAGGTTTGGTACCTCTCTTATGGCTATGTGTAAAATTAACACCACCTCAGTATAATTTTTGGTAGCAATAACCACCAGTAAATCTATTAGTGTAATATTGACCATATTTTTTTCAATGGTTAAAGTACTTGCTTTTAAATCCTGGCATTATGTCAAGGAAAATTTGGGTGGGTATTGATTTGTTTTCTATGGCTTATTGACCCTTTGCAGGTTATTTACATTTTTTTACATTGCAAGAATTTTTTTTAGGTAATAATGGTTTAGTGATACAAGTCTTATTAATTAATCCGTAGATAGAGGGAGAAAAGATGGATTCATACCTTTCCCAAGGGGATTTGCACATAAGTGAATATAATGAACATAATGGGAATTGAAACTCTGCTCTCTGAGCTCTTTTGAGCTATTTTCTATTAGATCACCTGCACATCCAAGCTTACAGCAGTTGGTATTCCCATGTGTTCTCCCATGTAGGTACTAATCAGGCTCAATGTTGCTTAACTTTGGTGATCATACGGGTACCAGTTTTTCAAATTGATATGGTCGTAAGCCTCAAAGATTGTGCTGGTAAAGAAACTTTGATCACTTTTTTTTTTCAATTGAATATGTGTTCTCTGCAAGATTGATGTGCTCTCATTTCATAGCTAGTTTCAATGTGCCACTCATACATCAAGCATAAATAAATGCCAGGCTTTAAACTTGTTTACCATTTATTCATGTATTCAGGATTTGATATAACAGAAAATAAACCCAAATAATTGTTTGCATAGAAATTTAATTACCATGCTTCAGTTTTGTAGTCTTTGTGCAACACAAATAAATCAAGTTATTTGTAGTGCAAATCCTTAATAAAACACAAGTGTACATTTAGCAAGTAAAATAAAAGCATCTGAATGGATATATTTTGATCGATGAGTTTACCCATACTACCAAAAACTATTGCAGATCTTGTTAAATCATTACTATTATTAGATAACTTTTACATGTGTGTCTTTATATAAATGAACTTGTTTATCCATGCTGTAAAAAATAACTTCTTTTGCCAAGTCTTTACTATTATTAGCATTTCACATGTAAAACTTTAAGTAATATATTTAAATAGTTTACTAAATAAGTAGTTATTTCAATAAGTAAAATAATTTACCCATGCCATAAAAAACGATTACTGTATACACTCGCGTATCTTGCAACATTTGAAGACCTAATTTTTTAAGCTAATTTTAAGCGGATCACAACATACTTGAGATATAAAATTAGCATATGTACTACTGGCCCTGGCTACGCCATTGACCGAACTATATATCGATTTACTGTAGTCAAATTAGCTTCAAAATTAGGTCTTCAAACGTTGCATAATACACAAGTATATATGGTAATTATTTTATTAAGTCCTTACTATTATTAGAAGATTTTCACATGTGAGTCTTTAAATATAATAGTATACTGATATCACAAACAATGGTGGTATAATTTGTTAAGTCATTACTACTATAAGATTTTCATATGTGATTTTTTAAATATACAAATATATTAGTTTATCCATACCATAAAAAATGATTACCTGTTTTTAAGTTCTTACTATTATTAGAAGATTTTCACTTGTGAGCTTTTAAATATATGAGTTTAACCTTACATCAATAATGATGGCATATTTTTAAGTCCTTACAATTAGAAGGTTTTCACACTGATTGAAAGTAAAATTTCAAGACCATGAATATGTTTCAATTTCCTCAAAATTAAATGTGCAGGTAAGTTACCCATATTACAATAAATGATCATGTATACAAATCAACATGTATGCAGTTTCCAAAATAAGGAATGTATCAACAATACTCAAACTCTATTAATGTAGTAAAACCCTTCACATTCATGCAGTCATACAGATACAAATGCCATTTCATGATATATTATTACATGCCTTTTGCATCTTTTGATTTACTACAAGTTATTGGCAGATTAACTGAAAGAATCGGGTATTGTTCAATGTTGGACAGGTGTGGCGATTGTGCCTGCAAGCTAAGATGTCAAACATCTTTGCAGAGCATATTGAGTAGTTCAGGCAACATGTAGGCAGGTATTATTGTGCTGGAAGATGTGACATAGAGAGAGAGATCCCCCCCACTCCGAGGTGGATTTAGTAATCAACAGTGCTAAAGAATTAGGATGAAGGTGCTAATTACTTGGGTAGAAGGGATTCCGGAGTAATTCCAGAAATAAGTTTATTTTTTTCTCTTGTTTTTTTCTCTTAATAATTGTTTCTGAGGTTGAGTTATTAGTTAATTAAATGTAATAATTCCAGAGTGATTAAGAGACGGTTTCATTAAAGTAAAGTTTGTGATAAATGGCGAATTGGACTTTTGGGTGGTCTGAATGGCAAAATTCAACCAGACGGGACAAGTGGTTTTGGCAAAACTTAAGTAGACGTTGTCTGCGGAGGACCCAGCAGGAGGTCCGAATTTGATTTTAGTATCTCTTAAAAACTGGGTTCCCGCTGAGTTTCGGGATCGGAAAAGCTTGCATGGTGGTCAAAGGCGATTTGCATATTAAAATTGGGGGGCGGTGCCTAAAGATGGTTTAGCTCCATCTCTCTCTATATAAGCTGCCCGCACGCTTGAGTTAGCCAGATCGGACATCAGAACGTGGCAGAATGCGGAAGAGATGGCTTGTTGGAATTTGCTGGTCTGGTCTGTTGGTTGTCCTGCGTCAAGAAGACTGATCCAAACCAAGAGATAGAAATAGAACCCGTACGAATCCAGATAACTTTGTCAACAAAGCTGTGAGAAAGCAGACTGCTATATCATAGGGTGAAGACGAAGATCCACGAATTACTTCCCTTAGATCAGCCGAAATTGTTTAGGCAAAAATTTTCCTACTCTCTCTCTGTCACTTCCGACCCCAACCTCGTTACGACATTTTGTACTCATGTAAATTCTTCGGTAGTGACATAAAAACAGTGGCCTAAAAAGGGCTCTTTTTTGTACAGGAACGAAAAGAGTTGCTTATTTTTTCTTTTTTTCATGTCTTTTGCATTTACGACAAGAAACTGTTTTTTGCATGAATAGTGAGTTCCTTTCAGTGTAATACCCAGCCGTTTAATTCATCCTACCTTCGGATCGTTCTGAGGGATCGAAATACTGCTGCTTGGATCAAAAATTCACAACGTGGCGGATAGTGGTGGTTTCTTCAGTTCACTGGGGGAGGACCAGGTGGTCTACTTTTCGGCCAGAACCACTGGAGAGACAGGACAGAGCTGCAACAGGAAGGGTTTATTACATTAGAAAGAGCAAAGAATAACAGCAGAATGGGTTGTGCAATTTTCTAGATGTACCTTGTGATGTTTTCAGTGTTCACTCCAAAGGCGAGTGAGATTTATAATTCATGGTGACCCCAACAGTAATACCAGGTATTTGACTTGTATGTTATATGTGAATATACTCTGGAAGGTGTTGCTCTTCCGATCTACATTGTACATGCAAATGATCATTGCTTGCATGAAGGCAGAACCTGCTTTCATTAATGAACATTACAGCATTGAAATTTGACTACAGAAACATGTACCTGTAGTCTCACTGCAAGTAAATGATTCCCAAGAATCCATTTTTGTACTCCTTTTTTTTACAGTACAAGTCCCAGAGGCCACTCAAGGTAGAGGGTTATGTTAAGAGGCACTTTATATGAATAAAGGGAAGATACTGGTCAATTCTAGACAGGTTAAGATTTTAGTGATTGAGGAAATATCTTCTTGGGAGTCAGTTCCAAAGATCAAAGGTTTAAAGAAAGAAGCTGTTCAGGTGGAACTTCTCACCAATGGAATCTGCAGCCACATTTGCTTTTGTCTGTGCTGCGAACATCATGTGTTCTACTACTGCTACCCTTACTATATGTTGAACTTTGTATTAAATAGCTATCAAGAACCTAGTTTACAGGTATCAGAATGTTCATTTGATTCTCTTCAGGACGTAGACAATCATGGCTCTCCATAATTTCCTGTCCTTTTAATAAATTTTATCTTTTCGTTATCACTCCTAAACCTTGCTCAGCCATCCATTTGCTCAAGCTCACTAGGTAGGTTATGCATTGTTTTCCTTTGTCCACCTTGCATTCAATCTGTCCTGTGAGTAACAAATTTTCCAAGCTCTCTTTCCTCATTATGTGCCCTAGAAATTTCAACTATCTCTTCCTGATGTTAGATGTTCTTTTTGTTTCCATTTTCTTTAAAACTTTGTCATTGCTCACATGTTCAGCCCATGGTATTTTCAGCATCCTTCTGTAGATCCACATTGATTACTTTTGCTAATATTGTATATATACACAGCAATTCTCCAAAATGAACATCCAGCCATTCAAAGGTCCACATATAGCTCATCTTGAACAACTCTTATTGAACAAGAGGCATGATACCTGTTTGCACTGGGTTCTTAATGCATCACCATCTCAAGCTCAGATAATAGATGGTGCACTGGCATGAATGTTACTATGTCACAAGATGTTCAAAAACTTTGAAATGTTATCATCATATCTCTTACTCCCTAGTGCATAGATATCATATCAAAATCAGCATCTTTCTTCACAGTGTTAAAATTTTATTTTCTCTCATGCTTTTTTTCCTATGGTTGTTGCTTCACTCTGTTTTAATATTTTAACAAACAGTTGCCATGGAAATAGTTATAGAAAAGGAGAAGGAAGGCAATTTTACAGTGGTGGGAAAGTGACTGAAGCCACCTCATCTTTGTTGTTGTCATCACAACGTTTTAGTTATTGTGCCCTTTGGTCTTCTTTAGATGTCTTTTTATCAAAGCCATTTTTCAATGCTCTTAACAGGCTGACTTTGCATCTTCAATGAGATTGAACTCTTTGAATATCTAATCTTTGCATTACATGTCATCTGCTCTACTGGAGAAAGATATTTTTATTGTCTGAATAGTTTTAGACTGTAGACTCTCTTTTTAGACTGTATGGAAATGGCTAATTTTACTATGTGATATGTCTGTATATGTCTTTGTAGCTGTAAGTAATTTTGGTCCCTTTACTATCTCTCTCAGTTCATGTTCTGACATCTGTTTGCACAAGCTTGTTAGGTAGGTTACTCAATATTTCCCTTTGCCCCTCCTACCTATAAGTGTCAAATTCTCCAAACCCTCTTTTCTCATGTCCTAGAAATTTCAATTTTTTCTAATCATAAATACATGTTCTTTTTGTTTCCATTTTCCCTAAAACTTCCTCATGTTCACATGTTCTCTCCATGATATTCTTATTATCCTTCTATAGAACTACATTTCTCTTGCCTTATTTTTTTTTATCTGTGAGGAAATTGTCTAGCATTCACTGCTATATAGGAGGATTGATATTACACAACTGTTCCGCACTCTTTTCTTTGTTTCTAATAAGATTTTCATTACTTTGCTCAAACTAATTCTCTTGTGTTGTTATTTTTTTAAAATTTTTTCATGTGAAGTCATTTTCTCTCTTTGGTAGTTTTATAATATCTGTGATAAACATAATTTAATAGTATTTGAATTCCAGTAAAATTCTCTATCGATTATGGCATG